AATCTTTAGCTCACTTTTTTTTTTTTTTGGTTTTTCGAGATAGGGTTTCTCTGTGGTTTTGGAGCCTGTCCTGGAACTAGCTCTTGTAGACCAGGCTGGTCTCGAACTCACAGAGATCCACCTGCCTCTGCCTCCCAAGTGCTGGGACTAAAGGCGTGTGCCACCACCGCCCGGCTAATAAATAAATCTTTAAAAAGATGAGAACACCATTGTCCCACTCCACATGTTGAGCACATCATCTTATCACCACCACTGGCATTTGCTGATGCTTTTGTTTGCTAGGCTCCACTCTTATATGCAATAACTCAATCCCCACAGTTCTATGATCACAACCCTCTCCTCATTTTTTCATATAGTGAAGGTGATAAACAGAGAGACTAGGTCCCATGACACATATTCCCCTGCTTGTTACTGGTGGGTCCTCACTCAGGCAGTCTGATCTAGCATATGAATATATGTATGTAACTGCTATAGCAAGCAGCCTACCATCGGTGACACAATGCTCAGAGGAAACTGTGTCCAGATCTAGTACATATAAACAAACGCTCAGTAAGTGTTAGCTGCTTGCCCCACAGCCTCATTCCTATTTCTAGCTCCCCTTTTAACACAGAGCATTTTAAAGCTGCTCTTGCGTGCATCTTACATCTGGATATATGGATGCATCACACTTGCTGGCTAAGGGTTTCTTCTTGTGGTGCTGAGTTCAAGTTCTGTGGGTGATGGTCCAGGTGTTCTAGGCGAGAGCAGTGGAGTAGATATCATCCCTTAATAGATATGTGTTTGGGTGAGTTGATGCGGTGAGTTCCCAGGGGGAACTGAATTAGCTCTTTAGATGGACTTTATGAGTCTGCTAGCATTTGCTTTTCTCCCTTCCATGGATAGTGCTTCTGAAAACTTAAAAATATCTATCCAGAACATGTCGGTATAAAAATAAACAGAAATGTGGCTGGGGGAGGCTCAGCCAATCAGAAGAACGAGTGGAAAGCTGGGCACAGTGGTGCATGCCTGCCTTCTCAGCACCCAGGAGGTGGAGGCAGGAGTAGCATGAGTTCAGTGCCAGCCTGGGCTCTACCTCAAAATCATGTCTCCACACTGGACTGAGCTCCCAAGGTCCCAATGAGAAGCAGATGGAGGGAGAACACGAGCAAGGATGTCAGGACCACGGGGGGGGGGTGCACCCACCCACTGAGACAGTGGGGCTGATCTATTGGGAGCTCACCAAAGCCAGCTGGACTGTGACTGAAACAGCATGGGATAAAACCGGACTCTCTGATCATGGCGAACAATGAGGACTGATGAGAAGCCAAGGTCAATGGCAAGGGGTTTTGATCCTACTTCATGTTCTGGCTTGATGGGAGCCTAGCCAGTTTGGATGTTCACCTTCCTAGACATGGACGGAGGGGGGAGGACCTTGGACTTTCCACAGGGCAGGGAACCCTGACTGCCCTTTGGATAGGAGAGGGAGGGGGAGAGGAGTGGGGGGAGGGGGAGAAAAGAGGGGGGAGGGGGAGAAGAGTGGGGGGAGGGGGAGGGAAATGGGAGGCTGGGAGGAGGCGGAAACTTTTTTTTTCTTATTCTCAATAAAAAAAAATTTATAGTAAAAAAAAAATCATGTCTCCAAAAGGAAAGGAAAAGAGTTGAAGCAGGAGGGGGGGGTGACAGTATCACAACCTCTCCGTACTTCACCTTCACACCAACAGTCCATGTCTGCACCCTCCAGGCAAAGACCAGGGATCTCCAAGCTGCCCAGGCACGTTCTTGATGCTTCTGTTGAGAGTCCAGCCATCGGACACATGGAGGACAGGATTTCTTGCCGTCTTCTAAGATGAAGGGGACCACTGAGCCTTGAGTTATTGGTTTCGTCTTTATCCCCCCGTTGTGACATGTGTCTTTGTCCCTCAGCCCAGTTCTTGACACTTGAAGACCCTTTACCACCAGTTGGAAGAACAGAGTCATAGGATGTGGCTGTGGCTTCTCTCCTTTCTTCTGTTATGGTGACTCAGCATCTGTGCACTTCAGTGCTTTCTTCTGCTACAGCAGCTCAGCTTCTGTGCACGTCTGTGTTTTCCTTCCCTCCACCACCTGACTAGAGCTCCAACCACTGTAACTTAGGTGCTCTCTCTTCTAGCAGAATTTTATTCTTATTTTCTGGTTTCTTTTTTAAAAAAGAAAATTTAGAGTTGTAAATGTTCAGGACAAACAAAACCCTTGCCCAAAGATGCTCTCCAGTGATTTCCTTCTTCTCTTTACTTCCCAGCGAGTTCTTCATGCCGGGCCTTGTTGATACACACATCCATGCTCCTCAGTACGCCTTTGCTGGAAGCAACGTAGACCTGCCACTGTTGGAGTGGCTGAACAAGTACACATTTCCTACGGAACAGAGGTTCCAGAGCACTGACCTCGCCGAAGAAGTCTACACCAGAGTTGTTGTGAGTATCCTATGTGGGGGTGCTGCGTAATGCCTGATCATTCACACGAACATTCATTTCTAGTTATAAACACTTCAGATATAAAAGTGTCAAGAAAGAGACGGGCTGTGGCAACATTCATTTTTAAGTCCTCTCATAAGCCACTGAGCCTGCCACCCTCGCAGTGGCAAGGAGAGAATGTGAGTGTAATGACCCTAGCTTTCGTCTGGTGGATTCTACTGCAGCTCTCTTATTGTCTTCCGGGTGCTGCTGCCAATTCATAGTGCTGTTCTGAGGACCATCTGGAGCATCCATGTGACCTTCAGAAGGCTCCGTGACTCACTGTCCCCATCTGTAAATCTCAGATAGCACTAGAACCTCCTTGATGGATTGTTATGATAATTCATGAGATTAATATTTGGGAGGTCCGTTAAACAGTACCTAGCATATGGTAAGAGCTGCATTGTGTTATTTGTTTAATGCTCAAGGAAAAACTAAATTTCAAACTGCTTTTGGGAGGATATCACATCAGTTTATTAGGTTGGCAAGGACGGAAGCTAGGATGATCTCACATTACAGAAAAGGTGGGGACGGGATATGAGCACTGATGGCGTTAGTGGGAACACTGTAGCCAATTCAGTCCCGATCAGGGACTGCTGTCTGCTGCGCCCCAGTTATGTTGAGGGCTGGGAAAATGGGCCACGTTCTCCTCTTTTATAAAACCTAGCTCCTGAATAAGAGCACACCCAGGAACTGGAATGCAAACGCTTTTCATCTTGCCCCTGTTTCCTACAGTGAACTCTTCGGACTGTACTCCTGGGTTCTTGCAGGACTGACCAGTGGTTCTTCTGTGGTACTAGCTACATGCCTTCTGCATGAACTGGCCTGGCTCTCCTGCCAGTTCCTTGTCTTGTATCATTCCAGGCTTAAAAAGTAGAAAGAGGCACGTACATTCATTCAGTTGTCTTGCTTAGTTAGGATTGTGGGGCTGGCATTTTAGCCTGCATCCACACGACAGTAGAAAACTGAGAAGGGCGAAGAGCTGGTTATGAATTGGCTAGCACGCCATGTTAATGGATTGTGTTAACCACACCAAATCTTTATCTTCACAATGTATTTATACCTCACATTGTTCTAAAACGGGTTTGAAATTGCTTAAAATTGCATAGGATGGAACAAAAGAAAATGAGTCATCAAATCACAGAAAAGGAAAAAGAGGGGAAGGGAAAACTAAAACCCAAAGTCAATGCTCGCTCTTGGGAGAGGCTGTCACAAATTTTGCTCTGTTTCTAGCACATGATGAAGACATGGAAATCAGAAATGAAATTCACGCTATGTGTGTGGTTTTGAGAGCCACATTTATTGAAATCAAAGCAATCTAGTCTTTATACTGAAGTTAAAAAATTAATTCTGACATTGCTTAATGTGGATGGATATTATGCTGTCAAAATACATTTGTAAAGATGGTTGGGGTAGGAGAGAGAGAAAAGGAAAGAGAGAGAGAGAGAGAGGAGAGAGAGAGAGAGGAGAGAGAGAGAGAGAGAGAGAGAGAGAGAGAGAGAGAGAGAGAGCTTCAAGGATTATATATCCTTCAAGCAAAGTCTCTATATATTTCTTCATCATAAATATAGGTATTTAAAGTCAGTGAGCCCAGAAATGGTCTATTCCTGACAAGTATTTATTTGCCAAACTTGCCCTATAGTTCTGGTTATGAACAGGCCTACACATGCTGACAGAGATCAGAATGGAGCTGACCTCTGCTTGAGAGAGCCGGCATTTCTCCTTCATGCCCTCCCTCTCCCCCATTCCCTTCTCTTCCTCCCTCCTTCCCTCCCTGTGTTCTCCCTGTCTTGTCACTTGACTGGACTTTGCATAGATTTTAGTTCATTCCAGTCAAACGTGAAACTACAGCTTCTCATTTAGCTCAGGCTTTTCCTCATGAGAACCCAGGCTGGAGGACTTTCCTCACACCACATCAGCACTGCTGGACTAAAAAACTTCATTATAGGATTAACTTTGGAGGGAGCATACAGGCCCCAGTGTCACTGCGAGAACATATCTTCCAGCCATTCATTTTCTCTAGGAAGGAGCTCTTCAGCTTCTTCAGGAACTGTGGGAATGGCATCCTTGATGCTCTGGTGAAAGAGACTGAGGACCCTGGAGCTCAGCTGGATCATCACTTGCCTTTCTTCATCTTGTTTGGGTGGGATCTGTGCCCTTTTCACACCTGCCAGTTTCTACAGAGTGACTCCCTACACAGAGGTTAGGAATGCTTGGGTGACTTCTCCAGGGAGGAAGAAGTGACCTCATGGACACCAGGCAGATTCCTGCTAGCACGCCCAGGCATCCATCCTCTTCTCGAGGTCTCCAGGTTCTTCTCTGTTCTCTCTTCTGCAGTCATCTCATCTTGGGTTTTTCTTAGGGGTTAAGCCCTGGTGCTCCCATTTATCATTGTGCGAGTGGAAATTTGCTGAGGATAAAGATGTAATGATCGTTTTTCTGCCAGGTGGAAGCGGAAGTCTGGCTGAATCAATTTACTTTGTCATACAGAGCAAAATCCCATTTGTATGCTCACAGATAAATAAAACTTAAATATTCTCAAAGAATCCTAAGGAATAAGGAGTTAATTGGCACCACATTTTGTGACCTCTGAAATACAACTAGGAAATTAAAAATACCAATTTCTCCTTAAGTTCTCACTTTGAGACTATAAATACTTTTGCCATTTACTGAGGTCTCTTCCACATCAAGATGGCATACCTTTCAATAAACACATGTTAAAATTAAAAAGCAGACTTCTATTTTCATCTGTGTGTGCCATGTGACTCTTCTGAGCACGTGCAATTCGGGACTTTTGTGATTTATTTTTAGAGGAGAACACTAAAGAACGGCACAACCACGGCTTGCTACTTTGGAACAATTCACACTGACTCATCCCTGATCCTTGCGGAAATTACAGGTGAGCAGCTGAAAGCAGGATTTATGGGCACATCAAGCAAAGACAACCAGACCGTGCCTGGCAATAGTTCATACTCCGTAGGAAGCCATGCCTTTGGATCTAGAATTTGAGCATTTGCACTTTGTTCTTTTTGCAATTAGCTGCATGCCTGGGAATATCCTTGACTCTTAAGTGGGTTTTTATTGTTTAAAGGAGCTAATTATTTCTATATGGATTCTGGTCCCAGGGTGATGTTTATAGATCTAAATTTTATATATTGATTTGGGTTTTTTTTAAGAGCACATTTATCAATGTAGCTGTAGCAAGAGTTTATTACATTATAATTAACAGACAGGTCTTGGTGGTTAGCTAGATTCAGGGCATGGTGCTAGATGCCAGAAGCAGTGTCTTAGTCTAGTAACATGTGTAATTCTGTTACTAGATCCCAAACAGTACACAAAATACTCCACTCTAAATAGCCTTCTGACATCTACTGGTGCCCTCATAGCACAGGTAGATTAAGTAAAGCTCAAAGGTGTGCACATATCCAAGACTGCAGAGCTGGGAAGCAAAATGGAGCCTGGATCTAGGTGGCTGATTCCACACAGACCCAGCACAGTGCCTGGCATTTAGCAGGCACTTGGAAAACACCGTTGACTGATGATGTATTTACCCTGCTGTTGGGTTCCAGCATAGTTTATACCAAACGCCTAATGGCTGACGCTGAAAACAAAAGCAAAAGTTGTTGGAAGAGGCGAAAACAGTCTGTCTGGAATGCTTCCATGGACATGACCTTTAGCTACTTGGAAGAGGGAGAGACGAAAATGAGGAAATGAGATGGACAGAGGAGTGGGGGCAGAGATGTTGATGATAGAGACAGGAAATAGCGTGGCTTAAAGAAAGGGGGGATTCATTGGCTGCTCAGAAGGGAGTGGAAGGTGGGCAGGTTTCGACCACAGAGAGGCCTTGAACATGCATCAGAGACTCAAGAGGTCTCAAGCCAGATAAGGGATATGATGAGAGCGGCATGTTAAGGAATTAATCTGATGACTAGATGTTAAAATAACTTGCAGAGAGAGTGGCAGGAAGCCTTCTGAAAGACCTTTGACAGCGAGGAGACATTGTAACACAGCCCCACCTTCACAGGGCAACCGAAGTAAGAGTTTCTCCAGCACATGCAGTGAGGTCCTTCATTGCCAGCGGCTGCTAGGCCTAGCAGTCAGTCAATGGTAAACAGTGCTGGACAGTCAGGAAGAACCACGGCATGCCATCTGAGCACCATGAGCCGTGTGCATCGTTCTTTGTGTATTTCTTACAATCCCGCTCAGAGCAGAGGACTCTGGGACCCTGGTATCTAGATCTCAGATGATAGCTACCATCTTGGGGTAACCACAGGGGTGAGGAATCAAATCTAAGTCGATCACCCAGCATCCATGTCCTTTCATTTTATATGCTGTTCCTTTATCTAGAAAAGGGACCCAACATGCACGGAGAGGAACTTGATCCAGGGATGGCAGGAGAGTAACAGATAGGAGAGAAATGAGTGGAGGAAAAAGATAAAAAATGGTATGTTGAGAATATTAATGTATTTTCTAGGATCTGATGTTATTCCCTCTTGTACCATGTGGGAAGATGAGTGTCAAGATAGTTATGACATTGGTAGAAATAAAGACAAAGTGTATAGTCAAAAGGAAAAGGTAAATAGGAAGTATAAAATACCCAATTGTTTTCCAGCAGGCTGGGTGCTGGGTGGAAGCCATTGGTTCTTTGAATTTAGTGGCTTTGTTATTGTCGCAGTGTGAAGACCGAGCGATGACTCTCAACATTCTCGTGTTTTCAGGTTAATTGTAATTTAAAAGTGTTTTTAGACTTCTCAGAAATAGTGTCAAAAAAGAAACACGTCTTCGGATTCTTTCTCTGTTGTGCTCCACAGATAAATTTGGGCAGCGAGCCTTTGTGGGCAAAGTCTGCATGGACTTGAATGACACTGTTCCAGAATACAAGGAAAGCACCGAGGAGTCGGTCAAGGAGACAGAGAGGTAGTGTGCCCGGGGTTTCCATCTGTATGGATGGCGCTGGAAACAGAGAGGGGAAAGTAGACACCATAAGGACCCAGTTGAGATCTGAGCACAGTGACAGACTATCTCGCTTGTTGCAGTATCTTGTTAGTCCACAGTGCTCAAACATGTGACGGGGTCAGTGGGTGGCTCACAGAGCTGTCCTCTGTAGACTGGACTTGACCCTCAGAAAGCTCCACAAGGTGTCGTTTTTCATGATAAGAAAACTGAGCCTGGCATAGCCTGGTTGACTTGCCCACGGCCATTGGAGTAGCCCACTTACCATCAATCTGATGTAATGCCAGAGATAATCATTTCACAGAGACAAAAGGTTTCTTTGGGGTTATTATTCTAGAGGCTCCAGCACATGATCGAGTGGTCATGTGATGAGGCAGGAGTGACTATAGGATACACTTGCTCACCTCATAAGCCAGGAAGGACAGAGAGAGAAAATTGGCCGGAATTCCAAAATGCTTCCTGGGGGCACATGGCCAATGGCCCAGTGATCTTCTAGCAGACTCTGCTTCCTAAGATACCCCACTTCCCAATAGCACTGACCTGGGGACCAAGCTTTGGCACATGGACCTTTGTGGTACACTCATCTGAACCATTTATTAGTATAGATTAAAGCATCAGAGCCAGGATTTAACAGAGTAAAGAATCTATATGACTTAAAATGTAGAGTTTCTTGTAGCGCAACACGGATCTTACTCAAGTCATGCTTAGTATGGAAAGGAGAGGCAGGAGGTGTATGCAAGAATTTTTTACTCATGCACATGCCCAAGAATAATGGTGCTAGGAGCCACTTACAGAAAACGTGAGACATTATGGGAAATGTTCCATTTGCAGGTGGGTGAAAGACATTTCAGTAAAAATAGTCAGGCGGAGTGGTGCACCCCTGCAATCCAAGTGTGTGGGAGACTGAGAAGAAAGGATCACGAGTTATAAGCCAGCCTTAGCCATATAGTAAGACACTCCCTAAAAAAAAATAACCAAAAATTATGTTCTTTCCTGGCATAAAGCATAAAGAAGCCCAATGAGGTGTGAAGCTGAGACATTATCTTTAGTTAAACCTCCCAAAGACATTGATGTGAGACTTTACTCTGTATCCTTTCAGTTGGTTTTGTAAAAAAAAAAAAATATTGATTCTTTGTGATTTTGCAGCATGCACCCAGATCCCACTCATCTCCCTGTCCCATCCCTCCACCCTCTGCCCTATGACCTTCCCCCCAAAACAAGAGAGAGAGAGAGAGAGAGAGAGAGAGATAACTTTGGCATGGAAGTTGTAGTGTGGTCCAGTGAGTCACACAGTATACCCCTTAGTCCATACATCTTTACTTGTAAGTGTTCTTTCCACTGATCAATGTGTTATAGCCACCTAGCACTATTCTTTTATCCTACCATAGAAAAAGAAAAAAATCTGCATGCATTCTGGAATGACCACAACATGTGCAAATAGAGAACTAGAAAAACTCCTCCCAGAACTGTTACATGAGGAGGTGAAAGGCAGGCATATAGCAGGAAAGCTGTATTCCTTTTCAAAAAGGATTTATTTATTTATTATGTATACAATGTTCTGCCTGCATGTATGTCTGCACACCAGAAGAGGGCACCAGATCTCATTATAGATGGCTTTGAACCACTACGGGGTTGCTGGGAATTGAACTCAGGACCTCTGGAAGAACAGCCAGTGCTCTTAAACTCTGAGCCTCTCTCCAGCCCCGGCAGTATTCCTTATATGCCTTTGTTCCACATCTGTGGACTCATGGACAATAGATCCTTTTTAGTAAAAGGTCTAGACACATTCGACGGTGATACACAGGCAAGAGAGACACTGAATGGTAGAGACAAACACCTATTATAAAGACACTAAGTGTAGACTGAGTTCACCAAGGATGTGAACTGCCTGTTTTGGGCTGATCTGTACCTCAAAGGAGTGAGCACATGTGCGCACAGAAGTGTTAAAACACGGTGTGGACAGAGACAACACGACAGGTCCACATGACCTGTCCTCCAATGTGACTGCTTCTCAAGCTGCCACTCACAGATGCCAAATACAAAACAGGTGCCCTGGACACACCAGTGTTGGCCTCAGGACAGGACTCCAAAAAGCCTGCTTGCAAGGGTGTAAGGTACTCAGTGCCATCCTCCAAGTTCAGCCCAGCAGGCCTGTGGATGACTCACAGGTAGGAATCAGGGCGGAGAATAGAAGCCTAGGACTCAAGGCAGGCTAGTTTGTAACGTTCGGTAGAGATACCCAGAATGAGTGGAGTCTCATCTATACACAACCCATACTGCACCACAGTGGGGAAACCTGAAAACACACTCCAGCTGAGGTTTTGTTCCAGATGGACACTTGCTCATTGAAGTGCAGGACAGTCCTAGAGAGAGATGGCTCAGCAGTGCAGGGTTTGGCTTTGGTTCCGAGGGCACACATGGCTGCTCACACATCTGTAACTCCAGTCTCAGGGAAACCAATGCCTTCCGATCTTCACAGGCACCTCATACAGGTGATTTACACTCATACATGCAGGTCAATACATACATGGGATAAAACTAGCAAAAGAACCCAAAGGTCTTCTGCTCTAAGAGGAGCCGGGATGAGCCCAGGCTCTGTGTCCAGCCCCTCTGATCTCCAGGTGTCAGATTTGCAGTCCTTCTTCAGCTGCAAGAGAGTTGCAAGAAAGAAAGAGGCAGAGGGCCGTGTCACCGAGGCTATCGGAGGGCTTGTCCCACACCTGACGTGACTACCGAATGTGGGTGCGGGAAATGTGGTATACAGTACAGTTGATCGGCTATGAGAAAAACCAAAGTTCTGACAACATGATGAACTTTAAAATGGCTATGCCAAGAAAAGCAGACCAAACATAAAAGGGAGCACGTTATAAACCTGCGTTTATATTGAATGCATAGAAACTGCAAGTCCACGAGACAGAAAATGGAGAGGGTTGCTCGTGCTGGTGCTGGGGGCACTGCCCATCTCCTGCCTATAGACCCAGGGGATCTCACTCTGGCGATGAGAATTCAAAGACTGTATTAGTACGGTAACTCCGCAACCCAGTAAATTGGCTACATTTATTGAATAGAGCACTTAAAATGGGTGAACTTTATGATATGTAAATTATACTTCTCCGAAAATGACTTTGAAAAATGGAAATGCGTTCCAGTGCACAGTCTCTTTAAGAGTCTACTAGGAAAGGTTAGATTTTTAAGTGCATAGTTTTGAAGGGTTGCTTTTAGATTCACCAGAAAGTGATTCTTGACAAAGACTTTAATACTAGAGAGTGGCGCATACTGCAGATTCCCCAACTGGGTGACTCCTTTGCCCACTACAAAGTCTCTCTCATCTCTCCTAGCACCCATCCTCCTGTTTTTGCCCCCACACAGATGAAGCAATTTCTTTTAAAGTTCAAGAATCTTAAACTGTATCAGTAACCTCTAGTTCTTCTTAAGATGTAGAATTAAAGTTAAAAAAAATGAATTAAGTCCCTCTTCTAGGATGCCAAGGTCACTAAGTGGATGTAGTCTGTTTTGTAAAATTGGTGTGTTCCTTTAAAAATGTCTATTTGTGCATGTTTGCACATGTCTGTGTTCACAGGGGCATGCACCAGTGCACACACCGGTGGGGGCCAAAAGAAGACGCTGGGTGTCCTACTCAGCCACGTTCCACCTTACCCCTTTGAGACAGGGTCTCTCACTGAACTGCAAGTTTTCAGTTGGGCTAAAACTCCCAGCATCCACCTGGCTGTCATGTCACCCCAACACTGGGGTTGGCGGCATGCAGAACTTTTTATTTCTTCCCTCCCTCTCTTCCTCCCTTTCTCCCTCCCCGTCTCTCCCTTCCCCCTTCTCCTTTCTTCCTTCTTTATTTCTTTGTTTATTTCTCTCTTTTTTTTCTTCCTTCCTTTTTTTTTTTTTTTTTTTTTTTTTTTTTTTTTTTTTTTTTTTTTTTTTTTTTTTTTTTTTTTTTTTTTGCATTGGTCCCTGAGATTCAAATCCAGGTCTTCATGCCTGCACAGTCAGCATCCTACCCACTGCACCTTCTTCTCAGCCCCATACACGAAGGGTTCTTTGTTCTCCTATATTAGGCTAGGGCTTCCCCAGGAGGCCAGATTTGTTAAGTATGGTGCCCTGCTCATTTAATTACTTTTAAAACATTAGTTGCACAAAATAGTAGCTTTCACTGTGACATTTTTATAAGTGCGTATGAAATACTGGGATCATATCTACAACCCCCTCAATAGTTTTTGATTACAGTTATTTTGCGAGTTTTCATTATGTTCAACTTCATATAACATTGGGAGGAACTTATTAATCATTTAAGTACTTTTTACATCATATTTAATATTTTTTCCATGGTATCTTGAATGTTTAACAAGGAATTTCACCATATTTGTATTTCACATCAAGAGATACACAGAAGAAATTTCTTCAGATTTACTCTTTTGGGGGGCATAAGTTTAGATCTCAGCTTTGCGTCTATTTTCCTGGGATTCTCTCACTTCAAGTACGTTTCCTCTGGAGTGCTGAGGTGAGAGGCTGCTGCATGGTCACGGGAAGAGGGGCACACCTCTACCTTCAGCACTGGCCATACGATCAGCTCCTGCACAAACCACTGTTGTGGTCACGTAACCTTAATTCACAATTAATTTCTCTGGGGCTGAAGATGGATCCCAGAGCTTTGTTCATGCCTGGCAAGTGTCTGTCACAGAGCTATATCCCCAGGCTCTCAGTTCACACTTTGGTCTCACATAGTACCAGGAGGAAGAAAACTAATGACTGGCTAGGACAGAAATAACCATTTCACCGGGCAGTTGTCACTGTTCAAGTAGGCAGAAGTGCTAGGTTCATGACTTGTTCCATTCCACACACACTTCATAGCCACCTGTCATCAACTTCCAACTTCCTCCAATATCCACCTCCTGCCAGACTCTATCCTCGGAGACGGATGGTGATACTTGGGGTGTAAGTAGCTTCCACATAAGAGGAGATTAGAAGAAAAGTCTCTAAGGCTCCTGAGTGCTCGTGTGTGCCCAAGAGTCCATGGCCCCATCATCCACAGAACACAGTGCCCTGCAACTCTGTCACACAGAATTGGAGCCACTAACACAGCCTGGGGGCTGTGTGGATGCTCAGGATAGCCCACAAGATGCCAGAGGACAATATTCCCTGTGGTTTTCCTCTCCCTCTTTTGCTAGCAAGGGAAGAGTTGGGTAATTATTGCTTGTTAATCCCTAATGAAATCCCTGCGGTGTCAGAAATGTTTGCATGAAAATCAGGACATGTAAGGACCCTGTTCTCACCCCTTTGAAACATTGATTTGAAGGTAGCGAACTTTTCTAACTTTGCACTTGTCCCTTGATTTCAGATTTGTGTCAGAGATGCTTCAGAGGAACGTAAGTGCATTGTTCAATTTTCACCTGGAGTGCTGCTTTGTTAGCTGTAGCCTCTGCGGCAGATGAGTAGATAGATTACTCTGTGTACCTGTGCCTTAGTCTTTACATAAGAGGCATTTTCCTGGAACCTTCGCTTGTTGACACAGTGTACCCAATAGCTCAGCTCAGAGAGGTCAGATTTTTTTTTAATTGAAAACATCTGGCAAAGACTGAGTCCCGGGGAGTGGAGTGGGATGGTTTGTTGCACATGTCCAGTGCCGGATGATGATCTCAGTGAGATTCACTCACACGTGCACTGGCAGGGCTGCGTGGAAATCTTAGGGATCTTTTCATTTTATGACTGAGAACCTGTGCCTGTTGATCAGTATCGCTTCACAGGATCCAGAAATCGCCTTTCTGCGTGTCTATCAAAGGGAGTGAAGTGGGATGTCTTGGGGAGATGGATGTATCCTACGTTTACCACAGCTGTGTTCACCATAGCTTCAGATATGGAAACAACCTAGGAGTCTATGGATGAATAGATAAAGAAAACTCATTTCATTCAGTTTTCCATTATACGTTTACACAAGAAAACTATACATACATGTTTGTATATACATATATGCATACAAGCGGGATATGTACACAATCTAAATATGTCTCCCATATCCCATGAGTACATATGTACACACACAGGCATGCATAATGGGATACTATTCATTTGTAAGAACCATCTTGCTATTTGAGACAGCACAGATGAATCTGGAGTATATTATGTTAAATTGAATAAACCCAGTTCAGAAGAGGAATACTGAGTGCTCTCATTTGAATGTGCAATCTGAAAAGGTCAAATTCATGGGAACTTCTGGTTTTTGCTTTCCAGGAAAGGCTTATGGGACACTATCTTTAGACCTCTCTGGGTGTTTGTAAGCTCAGTTTTGTAGTCAGAAACAATGATCTGCTTTTAGTGGATTTGATTATTCGCTATTAAACCATGCTGCAGACTCTATGTTTATGAGCTTGTTTACAGCTCCAGGGATGCTGTGTGCACCTCTCTTTGGTTCCTGTGCCCTTTGTCTATGTGCAGCATGGAACCCAAGTGTAGTCAAGTATGTGAATTCCATCCCGAGTTCACTAAGCTTTTAGTTAGTGCAAGGTGTGTTGGCCATCTGTCTGTCATACTCGAGTTAAGCAGCTTATAAGAAAGGAAGGTCTGCTTTGACTCATTGTTTCAGAGATTTTAGTCTATGATCACTTGGCCTGGTAGCTTTTAGGCCTATAGTTAGGCAGAACACAATGGCAGAAATTTCAGTCAGGTGGTAACGCCTACCTCATGGCTACCAGGAAGCCACAGTTGACTTCCTTCTAGTTGATTCTACCTTCCAAAGTTTCTGTCATCTCCCCATAGCACTATTAGCCAAGAACCTTCACCCAACATGAGTTTGGGGGGACCTCCTCAATATACAGGCAGGGAAAATGTCACCCCCTCACATGTGGTGCCTCCACCCCAGGTCTTATCTGAGGTAACAAGAAGGGCACGCTTCTCATTAGTGATAGCACTTTCTTCTGTGAACTTGATGCTGAAGAAAGGGCTGTTTTCATAAATTGTTTTTGGAACCTAGGACCTCTGTCTACCTGAAATTGGGGCTTTCCCTCACTATTGAAACTGCAAAATCTTTGTTGTGGAATGTGTGATATGTTCATGATCTCCATATTTCCCTCACGAATTTCTTTTATTATGTCCAGTACTCAAGGGTGAAACCCATAGTGACCCCGCGCTTTTCCCTTTCCTGCACGGAGAACCTGATGAGTAAACTTGGCAACATCGCCAAGACCCATGATCTGCACATCCAGGTAGGCATTTTTCTTTGGTTTGTGCCTCTGTCTATACCTGCTGTAAATCCCAGTCTCCAGCCTCCATCTTTGGAGGCCCCGCCCCTGTGCCCCTTGCCCCTTGACACCTCCCCAAGGAGGGTCAAAGTGATCCACCAAACTTTGACCCTTCCCCCAGAAAAAGTCAAGACCACTCCCCCACGCTACTTAAAATGCTCTCCCCAAAATAAACACATGTCGTTCTCCCCCCCCCCACGTTGGCGGCTTTCCAGTTCCCCTCGGGGACACCCGAGAGTGCAGGAGTCCAATTAAACCTGGATATCTTTTAATTTGGTTTGTTTTGATTTGGCTTGATTGGGAATTTTGCATCAGCAGAGAGCTCGTGTTAGAAAATATTGTTAACACCTGCAAGATCTCTCAGTGCCTTCAAGCCATCTCTAATAACCTGTAGTTCGCCTATTGAAATCTCCTAGAGTCAAAGAATTAAGTCTTTAGGAAGGAGGCTCCCTGTCTGGCGTCATCAGGAGGCACCCTGACTAATGGCACCCAAACCAGTTGTCAGTTTTGTGGGTCAGGAGCCTGAAGTTGTTCTCATCCTCCATGTTCTCTGATCTGTCTTAGACAGGCCAAGACAGCTTTATAAAGAATAGCAAGGTCAATGTCAGACTACCCATTTTTGGTACGATGCTCTTAACACATTTTCTTCCTACTTTTATATGATGCTTTCCTGGTGTTCTAGACCTTCATTTGTAGAGGAACCAATTATTATTTGAAAAGGAAAAAGAACTTAATTTCTACCTTACGGAAGTGCATTTAAAATCCTTTTGTTCTGAGTGTCTTAATTTAAAGTTAGGAACAAAAAGTATACCGTCCTTTATCATTAAGTTGTTGCAATTTAGCAATAAAATACTTTTTAAATCTCACAGCTGGGCTAAAATTAGGAGCGCCCCTCCCCCACTCAAGCTTAATTACACACTGAACTAAAATTTCCCCTTTCAGAGCCGACAGTCTTAGAGGGAACAGAAAGTTGGGGTGAGGCAACATATTGATGATCCCTTGCTTTTATTTATTTATTTTTAAAATGTATGTTCATAGAACCCATTAGTATGTCTTCTCCATGATTATTGTTTGTGGCTTCTGATATTTGGACTTTGGATTCAATTCCCCACAGTTATGCTATGGTGATACAATTCCAAATTTAGATAATGTTTCCACTTTGGGAACAGCATGGTTTATTCTAAGAATGAATGAATGAAAGAAAGAAAGAAAAGGAAGGAAGGAAGGAAGGAAAAAAGAAAGAAAGAAAAGAGGGAAGGAAGAGAAAAGAAAAGAAGAAAGGAAGGAAGGAAGATGCAAATGATATTAAAAGCTACATAAAAATAAAATGAAAATGACATGCTGAAAGTCTGTCCTTTGGCTGGAGGTGCAAGGCCATTGACAGAGCACTTGCCTAGCATGCAAACCCTGAAACTCTGAGGTCGATCCCCAGCATAACCTGTGCATGGGACACAACACTCAGGAGGTGGAGGTGGAAGAATCAGAAGTGCAAGGTTGTCCTTGGCTAGAAATCTAGCTCACAGACATTTTAGGAAACAGGAGATGAGCTCTGATTAGAGGGATGGATGATATGCATTTATTTGTATTATCCAATCAAAGCACCTGGTTGTTCTTCCTCTTGTGCTACACCCATGCATTTCATGGAAGGACTGGGATTTAGTCCTGACTGTGGGTAGAGTTTGACGTAGGTGCAGCACTGGTTGGAGTTGTTGCTCACTTTTTCTTTTCTCTTGCCATGTCTCTTCTTAGCACAGAAAAGAGGCTTGGCAGAGTTGTTTTGCAAGAGTTTGTTGGCTCGAGAATTGTTCCCATCTACTTCCATCACCCTGGGTCTGAAATAATTTTTTTTTCTAGAGACTTAGGTAGCTTCCAGTGCAAGACGCTTTATGTCCCCTCAGATTTCAGGTGCCCCCGTGAAAGGTTGGTGTGGCTGCCTCAGACTCACTTGGGTTGTGTGTGATCTCCCATGAGCTCCTTCCTGATGAAAGTGGGATTCTTCAGCTGTCATTTGCACATTATTTAATGCGAAAATATGATTTAGAAGGCCAAGAAAAGAGGCAGACTGAGGCCAGGCCCTGAGCCTAGTCTTCCTCCTGCCTCCAATACATGGAGTTCTGTAAAATTTCACACCTGAAATATGACTAACATATCTGCATGAGAGATGGAAAATTACTTAACTAGCCCAACGCTTTAATTGCGTGATGAGAGGTGGAAGCTCACAGAAGAGAACTGACTTGCTCTAGGACATATAACTAGGCTCAGAATTCAGCTCTCTTTGTTCAGATTTTAGTCTCTTTCTGAGTGACCCATGGATTCACCTTCAGATGGTCACTGAATTCTGATAGGCAGGTTGCTGCAAGCCAAGCACTGGGTGCTCTTTGAAAGTACTTACATTTGTTCTTGCAATAGATTAGAGTTTAGAGTTTCAAGACTTGGGGGAAAGATCTCTCTCTCTCTCTCTCTCTCTCTCTCTCTCTCTCTCTCTCTCTCTCTCTCACACACACACACACACACACACACAGAGCCATACTCATGATATTTAGTATTTTTGTCATGTATATTGGTATAGAGGATGCATATAATCATTTAAAATTAAACCCAAGTACAGAGCTTAATGTTTTCATCCATAGTCTCCTATATCAGCAAGTTCAGCAAGCAGAAACTAGCAATGGCATGTTGACATAGAAGATATAATGTTAAATATTTTACAAAAAAGTGAAAACAATATTTATTTGTTTGCAGAGCCATATAAGTGAAACACGTGAAGAAGTTGAAGTTGTGAAAAACTTATACCCTGGCTACAAAAACTACACAGATGTCTATGATAAAAATAATCTTCTGACAAATAAGGTAAATTCAGTATCATGATATAATGTATATAAAGTCAATGGCACCCTTTAAATTTCAGAATCTCAGAAGTAATCACTGTTCTTCAGTACACATGCATTTTCTAAACTAGAGTAAACGCAGTGTGTGTGTATGTGTATGTGTGTGTGTTTTGGGTGTACACATGTATGTGTGTAGGTGTATGTGTGTGCCTATATGTTCATGTTTGTGTGTACACATGTGTTTGTGTGTGTATAGATATATGTATGTGACTATATTGTGTTTGTGTCTACATATGTATATGTTTGTATGTACACATGTGTGTAGATACATGTGAGTGCATGGTATGTGTGTATCTATCATCTCTATGTGTATGTCTATATATGTGTGTGTTTGTATGTGTGTGTGTGTTAATACGTGTGGGCCTGATGTTTCATACCTATCCTTAAATCTAAAATTTCATTGGATGGTAAGAATGGCCTTCTTTCCAATGATGCTTTTGCAGTTAGTACATCAGTGGGCTTTTCTTTGAGTCAGCAGACCCATTTCCAAGAACAATTTTTTAAAGGCTGTAAAAATGGGTGTGCTGATAACACAGGAAAGTTTGGATATAACTATCCCCAAGGAATTGGTTAAGTCATAGAATCTACATAGTGAGAGTTCCATTCAGTGTGCACAAAGATCAAATATGCATGCTTCCACAGAAGAACATTCAATACGGTAGGACATGCAAGTACCTGTGTGTACATGTGAGTTTTCACACTTAAAACCTGCCCAGAGATACACAGGGAATGTTAAAAGCAACTTTTTAAACTCTGAGGTTTAGACAATCTATTACCTCTATAATTAATTAAAATTAATGTGAGTGGCAAGAGACTTCATTAAAGCAATATACCCTTTGGCCTTGGCCTTTTGTGAAATGAACACGCTACCTTGAGAGTTTACTGCAACAAGTTGTTTCTTAGCGACTACATGAAAGGAGATAGGAGTACGAGCGATTGGAAAGGTTAATACTTTGCATAAATAATGTAAATTTTACATAGGAAGTTTGATCCTTCTTTGTATATATTACCATATAATTAATAAATTAACCTTAAATTTTCATGTTAATCTTATTTGTGCAAAGGTAGAGAAAGCTTTATTTGAATAATAATTTTTGCCTGTTGAACTATGCCTCCCAAAGGAGAAAGCAATTGAGTATAGATTTTACATTAAAGTAAAAAAAAATTTAGAGAATTAAATGTTGCTTGGAAACCCACAAATCTTACCAGGATAAGAATTTAGAGAGGTTTCATATGTGTGGCACCTACTTTCTTAAATAAAGTTTACCTTCTTTACTCAAAGCTGTTATGATATGACGTATCCTGATTTCATGTCCATGTCAAGAGCCATGGGTGACTGTATTAAAACTAGTAACAGAAATAAAGAAGAATTCTTTCAGATATGGTGACTTATGCCAAAACTTCCAACAGCATTCCAGAGGCTGAGGCAGAAAAAATTATGATTGTGAGGTCAGCTTGGGCTCTATCGTTCAAGGCCAGCCTTAGCTATATAGAGATTCCATCTCCAAAACAAACCATCTACAACAATTAACCCATAGTTCTTTACAAAATCACATTTACAGCTTCCATGAACTTTTTGAAAGTCCTGATTGGAATACAGACAAGCACCAGCCTACTGGAGGTACATCATATAGATTTAGAAAAGAAAGCAACTTGAAAATTTTCTATAGCAGAGATAATAAAAATTGTAATGTGTTCACTTTGACTGGATTTCCTATGGCACGGATGAGCTGACTGAGCCAAAAGAATCAAAATCAAGAGCCCGGGCAAGGATGGAGTTCAGTGGTACAGTACTGGATTCGGTTACCAGCACTACAATAAACAAACAAACAAATCATTAAAATGCACAAATTTGTTGAGACCTTTGTAATATGTATTTGATGCAGGGATTTTGTCCTTTCAAATAATAGCAACAGTCGTGGCAAAGACCACTGTAGCCAAGCCGTTGCTTCTGTACCTTCTTATAGTACATAGCCATGAGTATTAATGCAAGCATTTTTAGCGGGAAATTCCACGCTGGCTATTCTTCTCTCTAGACAGTCATGGCACATGGTTGTTACCTTTCTGAAGAGGAACTCAACATCTTCAAAGAACGAGGAGCATCAATTGCACATTGTCCCAACTCAAACTTATCGTAAGTACACAATAATTGCTTGGTAGATTATTGATACGTAGCATAGATGGGCATTCTCCGTTTTCTCAGTTTCTTCTTCTAAGGTCTGTTTCTATACTGGATTTGAGTGGAGAAGGAGCCAGGTAGATGGAGGCTCACCTGTGCTAAGGTGAGGATAGAAGGCATTTGAAAGAGGGCATTGCCTTCCCAAAGGTTATGAATTCATGAATGAATCAGTTGAAAGTTATGGGTTATATCTCCAGCAAAAGCAAAAGGTCCATAGATAGAAAAATGTCATGTCTAAGTTTAGGGAACTTGTGGATAATGTGATCTAGTGTGTAGATGCTGGGTTAGAAACTTAAGAGTTGTGCAAATAGTGTATTTGGGTGTGCGTTGCTCTTAAAGAGTACTCCTGGGGAGTCTGACACACAGGGCAGAAGTGAATAACATCAAACTAGTTACCACAGTGGGACCTGGAGTCTAATTCTTCTAGACTCTGTCAGTTGTCCATCTCAAGAAGTGATGGCACAGGGACAGTAACAAACAGCAATGGCAGAAGGGCTGGGATGACTATGGAGGAGCATCCCTTTTGACTGTCTCCCGACAAAAATAGAGCAGAAGAGGGTAGAACACCTCAGCAAAGAGCTGGAGGTATTAGCAAGCTTAGGGACTTCGTGAATGGCACAGATGTGTGTTCGTGACTATGTAAGAAGGGCTCCTGGACACACAGGACATTTCTCTAGTTGTTTGAAAGGTCTCAGAAGACCCTGAGTTTTGAAACAGAAAATAAATGCACATGACTTTGTGGCCTGAATTGCAGCCTAGGGACAACAATTTAATATTCCCTGGATGAACAGTAAAATACCCTCTAAATTAAAACATGATCTGGCTGTTCAAATAAATGCTGACCTTCAAGAGTTTCAGGTTTTCCTCATGCACATTGGGGCTTTGTAGTTATAGTTTAGTGTATCCTTGAGCACAGCCATTTGGTCACTGTGTCTTCGTGGACTTCTAATTACATGTTATAGCTTTCCTTCGTCTTTCCCTGCATCAAATGGGATGAAGACAATGAGGTCCAGAATCCAGATCGGGAGCCCTCTCTCCTAGGTTGTTATCCTTGGAAGCAGCGTTTGTACTCTCAGACCCCCATTTCAATAGTTCCATCCTCTTTAGTTGCATCATCTTTGACCCTGTAAGCAGGGAGGAAGAAAAACATGAGGGAAGAATACCTTTCCTTATCAGTCATAATGTCATCGCCAACCTTCTAAAATAAGACACATCAATGAGAGAAAAGCCCAGCAAAGTGCCTCCTCGGAGTTTTATGTGCACAGGACCGTTAAATGAAGGCCAATGGGCACAGAGAACTGTCCCGTATTTTTTGCTTTGATGAGATGGAGCAAGGCAAACATACAGAAATGGAATTGGACAAAGAGGCTCTGATCTAATGCCAAGCCATTAAGTTGGGATACCGGGGAGGGCATCTTCAGATCTTCTTGATCATTGTGTCATATTGTTTTCCATCTGTGACTAGGGCAGGACCTCTTCCAACACAGAATCTTACGACTGTCTATCAAACTCCTTCCTGGCCAACATAAGACATAAGGATGGAGGACTAGAATAATCTCATCAAGATTTGTGGCTGGCATAGGGGAAAAGGGCAGACATTTTAGTTATTTTATTGCTTTTGGGGCAAACTAGGACCCTATGCATGCTTAGTAAGCACTCTACCACTGAGTTAGACCATAGCCCTGAGAAATTCTGGCTTATATGGTTTGGAGACTTGAGGGGAAGAGATCAGAGAGATGCTCTGATTTCTGAGCCTACTTCTGAGGCCCAAAGCATCATACACTGGGCTATTATTTTTGTACTTTAATAGAAATTGCTTCTCTTTTGGGTAATGCATTGTTCTGGATATAGAGGAATGTGATGGTTTCTAATTTATATTTTGTATCATGAAGGAGGAGTTGGCCAGAAAGCTTACAGCTCTATTAGATTCACAGACTAAGTACCAAGCTTAATTCTTAATTCTAATTTTCCATATAGTTTCCCGCCCTCCACCTTCCTTGCTAATTTGGACCCTTGCAAGAGTGACCTCAGGTCAGGAAGAAGGACGCAGCATTTTATGATCTTCTCTGCTCCACCACTTTCCTGAACTGATCTGACTGACCATTGGCCTTAGGGCTTAGGATGAGAATCACAGTTTTTAGTACTATAGCCATCTTTGACAGTGCCTATATGCTGTTAAGTCACTCGAATCTCCTTGTTCTTGCATTTTCTTTCTCTCCAGGCTGAGCAGTGGCTTACTGAACGTGCTTGAAGTCCTGAAGTGTAATGTGAAGATAGGGCTGGGAACAGGTAAGCAGCCATCATCTGGAGCTGAACTGATAAATCACCATTCTGATGTAGCTGATTTGTAGATATTTGGGTTGTGCTTAAGGAACGTGAGCTTTTTTTTTTTTTTTTTTTTTTTTTTGGTTGCTAGGGATGGGTGTCTTAATAAGAAACAACAACCAAAGAGGGAGAAGTTTGGAAGTCATTACCCCCACTTCTCAAAGCCATTTTCCCTGGTCATTGTTTCTAAGCTGGGCACTCATGTCGAACAGCTCACAACTGCCTGGTCCAGCTCCAGGGGACCTAACATCTTCTTCTGGCTTGCACAAACACTTGCATTCACATGCACAAACTCTCACATAGACATATAATTTAAAAATAAAACAAATTCTTTTTTTTAAACATTTTATGGATTCTTTGTGGATTTCACATTATGCATCCCAATCCCTCTCATCTCCCCGTCCTCTCAGACCCACCCTCTGCCCTAGCAACCTTCCCACAGGAATAATCAAAAGTTAAAAGAACAACTGAAAACCAAAACACACACACACACAGACAGACACACAAGATTCTGTAGCATGTCCCAGTGAGTCACACAGTTTACCCTTTAGTCTATTCATCTTTACTGCTGAGTCTTCATTGCGATGAGTCATCGGTCTGGTTCGAGGCCTCTGGCTTCTGCTGCGCCATCAATGCTGGACCCTCACTGGGACTCCTCTTGGATATCCTGTTACTGTCCTGTGTCGGTGGAGGTCCTGCTGTTTTGGATCTGCAGGTCCAGCCCCTTCACATGCTCTAACAGGTTCATAGATGAGGTGGATATTGGGTGGGCTTAATCATAGCCCTGCTTCTGGGCCTGGGTGATAGCTGGATTGGTTAGTTTGCCAGTTTTCCCTCATCACTACCACCTGGGTGAGCTCTCCCGTACTGCCCCGGGGAACTCGCCCAGTGCAGCAGGCAGCAAGAAGTTCTCTTGTTCTCAAGGCTTCCGATTCGGATCACCTTCACTCACACTACCAGAGCCAGCTCTTCTACCTTGCTACCCTCTTCCCTTGTTAATCATTGTTTCTCAATGATGCCTAGCCATAACTATATATTTCTATATTTTTCCTTTTTACAAAAATATTTTGATAGTGTTTCCCTAAATTCTGTTTCTATCTCAGAAGTCCTTTTAATTGTTTTTATTGAGCTAAGCATTTTTCTGCACTTCCCTCCCTTCCTCCCTTTTTCTCCCCTTCTACCCTCTCCCGTGACCCCCATGCTCCCAATTTATTCAAGAGATCTTGTCTTATTCTCCTTCCTATGTAGATCCATGTATATCTCTCTCGGGTCCTCTTCTTCCCAAGGTGCTTTTATCATGGCCCTTATCACAGCAATGGAAACCTAACTAAAGCACTCTCTGAGCAACAGTCTTTGGTTTTCTTGGGAACTTAGGTCTAGTGATGGATGCCATGTTTTCTCCGTCTTTCCTGCCTTCCTAATGCAGCCCTCTTGGATGCCAGCAGATACACAAGATCTCTTCCCCATTTTCTGTGTGTTCACTTTGTGAAAAAAAAAAAAAATCCCTAGATGACCTCAACAGTTCCCTTTTCTATGCCTGCAGCTGGGTGTTTAGGAGCTGCTGGAGAGAGCAGTGGCTTACATGTTAAGTTCTGTGCTCCGATTCCAAGCAGCCCTCAACACTGGCAACAGCGATAATTATATTTCTCTAATAAGTAGCTGCCTCCTCAATCCCGCTTTTCCTCCTAAAACTTTCTATTGCTGCTGAAGTCCTCTTCATTCCCAGCCCATATCCTCTTTTTGTGGATCATTACAAGAGTATAAAAATAAATCAGAAATCTTTGTTTCAGTTTCCACCACCGAGTTTGCATACATTCTTGCTCACGTTTAAGTGCTGTCTACTGGACTAGTGTCATCAATACACAAGCATCTAAAATATCTCCTGACCCGTTTAGTTCATACTATGTAACTGTTCTCTTGCCCAGACACCCCCTTGAGCTTCCTGTCCCACTCTGCTGCCTTTCTTCACAGAAAAACTTCTGTGAGTGTGGGTATCCACACAGCTCGTGCTCTCCACCCCCACCCCGTCCTGATTCTTGCCCAGCCAGCAAGGCAGCCATCTTGTTCTTCTCGCTGTGACTCGCTGCAACCACGATCTCTTGCTGTCTCTCAAAATATGCCATTCTGTTGTGACTGAATGCCTCTGTGGTCTACTGTGATTGACACTTCTCCTGGTCCCAATAGCTTACATGGGAATCAGCAAAATTGCATTGAAAAAAAATTATTCTTCCTATGTTGCTGGCCTTTCTTTCTTCCCTGAAGGCTTGCTTTCTTTTTCCTGCCTATTTGGAAAAGCTGTCCCCAGAGATCAATAAGTCAATCGTTTTTTTGTATTTCACTTCCCCTCCCCCACAGGGGATTTTGTCCTCAACTCTGACCTCAGATGCCTCTTAGCTTTTATGTGCATCCCAACTCCTCTAACAAAAAGTTCCCAAGAAAAAAATTGACAAAACCTCATGCTTGAGAGCCTCTATTGTTATAGGCTTTAAGAATTATCACATTACCACTACCTGGTGTGGCATAGTACCTTGGTTAAATAGCAAGTTACCCTGTCCATGGACCTTGATATTGTCTCTAAAATGGAGTTGATGATAGCAGATCAGATAGATACCTTACCTGTTTGTGCTGTGGGATAATACTCTTGTACCCTGTAAAGATTTGTCACTCATTTTGGTTTAATAAAATGCTGATTGACCAGTAGCCAGGCAGGAAGTATAGGCAGGGTGACCAGACTAGAATTCTGGGAGGAAGAATGGCTCCGTCTACAGTCACCACCCAGATGCAGAGGAAGCAAGATGAGAATGTTACATTGAGAAAAGGTACTAAGACATGTGGCTAAACATAGATAAGAATTATAGGTTAATTAAGTTGTAAGAGTTAGTTATAATAAACCTGAACTAATAGGCTAAACAGTTTATAATTAATATAAGCCTCTGTGTGATTATTTGCATCTGGGTGGCCAGGAAATGGAAGCACAGCCTCTGATTTCATGTTTGTGTGGAGGATTGGTTAAGTCAATATTGTGTTGTTTTTGTAATGATTCTTAGTATGATAAAACACTGGTTTGTGACAAGTGGCTGTTCAGCATTGCTTTTTAATTTTATAAATGATTCACTTCTTTCTAATTAACAAGAAATAGTTACACACAAAAAGACTTAATGGGTGCTTGTTATTTATTTGTGTGTGTGTTCAAGTATTGTGCTTATTGAGTGTGTGTGCATGTTAGTGTACATACACGTGTTCACATGTGTATAGAGAGACCAGAGGTAAACCTCAGGTATTATTCCTTAGGCACTGTGACAAGGTCTTTGGATGGGATCCAGGCTTACCAATTAGACTTCATGAGTATCCAGAAAGCTCTGGTGATCTGTGTTGTGTGTCTCTGCCTTCCCAGCATGCTAACACACCCTTTACTTAGGTTTTGGGGATCAAACTCAGACCCTAATGCTTGCTTGCATCACAAGCACTTTACTGACTGAGCTGTCTCTCCAGCCCTGATTATTTCCTAGTAATGCAGACTAATAATTTAAGTAATAAAATTTGTCAGGGAACCAGATAATCCTACATCAAGACTGTTATTGATAAAGAAAAGCACTCTATTAAAAAAAAACTCCATGCAAGTTTACCTAAGGACATATACAATGGCTGAACATAAAATTCAGCTGCAATCCAGAATTACTACTAAATAACCAATTACTTTTGATAATTTCAGTATTTATAGGCAATAATAATTACATAGGACTACCAGAAATGACAGGAACATTTAAAACTACAATGGATGTTTGATTAACTATAAAATGTATTCTCCAATAAAACATGCTATCTTACTTGACATTGCACCAACTCATTTCATAACATGCATTTGTTCCTGCCAAAGGCAGTGTTTCAATTAATTATGACTAGGGGTTTAATCTGAGTCACTAAAACTCTCATTTCTCATTCAGTGATGCCAACCAGTATGGAAATGCTGCCCATATCAGCTCTGGTTATTTATTGTACTAAGTTTCCAAAAGTTATGCTCATTCTAAAGCTTTCTGAAGAATTATTGTTTTAAAAATTGGCTATTTAATTTTCTAAAGCTTTCATCTAGGTTGAAATAATACTTGGACATTTTCTTTAATGTACGCAATTGTGAGTTTATGTTAAATCATATTATAAACCTTTCACAGCCATATTTGAGTAATTTTTTAAGTGTTTAAGAAACATCTATCTATCTATCTATCTATCTATCTATCTATCTATCTATCTATCTTTATTAGCCATGTGGATGTTATAGTGGGTTGAGTTGTAGTCCCCAAAAGAAGTCTACCAGAACTTTTAACTATGACTGTATTAGGACTAAAGGTTTCTGTAGATAGAACTAAGGTAAGGCTGGCAACATGAACTCTTTCTGAAATGGGATGGCTCCTGAGCTCAATGAACAACGCTTATAAGAGACAGAGAGGAAAAGCCACAAAGACCCAAGAGAAAAAGATGATGTGAACATGGAACAGACTGGAGTTACTGCCATAAGCCAAGATCTCCAGGAGGTGTGAGGAGCTGGACTGAACAAATCCAGATTCTTCCTGGAGTTTCTAAAGATCTGGGGTCCTTGCCATCACTGTCAGTGATGCTGAGGTCTGAAGCCCTGGCCTTGTACAGTCTCCACATACACTCTGCCACTGAGCCACACTCCCCAGCTAGCCCTGCCAACACTTTGACTTCCAAAACTGTGAGAGAAGACAGTTCTCTTGTGTTAAGTCACAAGATTTGTGAGGTTTTGAGCAATCCTAGAAGCTAATTCTGAAACATATTTGATTTTAATGAAAGGTGGTTTTTAAAAATCAGAAAAGCAATAGATTTTGTTAGAGCATCCTGATGTGTGTATTGTCCTTTACCTTGTTCTCATTTGTCCCCCTCTCATGCCTACTTGCTTGTCCTATTCCTCCCCCTAAATAGTGACCACTTCTGCTTTTATGCAAATGAAAAATTTTGAGTTTATTTAAATGCTGGCTTATATTTATATGTTTACAGATGAGAACTTTTTAGTAATTGAAAAATAGAATGTTTGTCATTAAAACCAGAGGAAGAAAACAACATATACACCTGTTATTCCATCCATCTTCATAAAGTCCCTGTTTGGGCTTTTTCTTTCCTACACAGATGTGGCTGGTGGTTACTCCTACTCCATGCTTGATGCGATCAGAAGGGCAGTGATGGTTTCCAATATCCTCTTAATTAATAAGGTGAATGAGAAGAGTCTCACCCTCAAAGAAGTCTTCAGACTAGCCACTCTTGGAGGAAGCCAAGGTAACGACTAGTTTCTTCATCTTTTACACCATGTACAGCCATGCCAATGTGTGTCTTTGGCTATAATGTAAAGGTACGCCATAGTGAACTAAGGCAAATCCTATATTAATGACTGATATATGGCATATAGTATACCCAAAGCATAGCCATGCATGAATCAGCCATTCTGTCAATGAATTCACTTTTTGGTAGACAACTGCTTAATGCACTGTTACCATATTGATTATTTTAATTAATAGTTCCACTAGCCACATACATATGAGTCAAGATAATTCTCCCTTCTATTGAGTCAAGTGCTTTCTTTTCTTGAGTGATAATGCTATTAATAGAAGTTACTGCCAAGCTAGTTGAATTCTTTCCATGGGGCAGTGTGGTGAACGGTCTGCTCGTGTGCTGTCATTCAGGGCTCACAATCACTGTTGTCAATTTCATTTTACAAAGAAGGAACCTGAGTGACACACAGCTGCAAGGTGAAGTGTGCCATGTTTTGAATCCAGAAAACATAAATCCGAGTGTGGAGTCTCACCTCTATTAGACTGTCTTTCCATATAAATCCCTGCCTAGTTCATGCACTGATTACTCAAGTCGTGTTGAAATATGAGCGGCGGGGCTGCGTCCCCAACACCCCGGCCGCTTGGCTAGCTCATGCCCGAAATAACAACACGCAAACTGTATTCATTTAAGAACTGCTTGGCCCATGAACTCTAGCCCTTACAGGCTAATTCTCGCACCTGGACTAGCCCATTTCTAATAATGTGTGTAAGCACCCCAAGGTGCGCTTACCGGGAAGATTCTAGCCTACATCCATCTTCATCGCGTGTGCCTCAGAGAGCAGAGCTATCGTGTCTACCCGAGAGAGCTGAGCATGGTGTCTGTGATCCGGAGAGCAGAGTCTCTCCGGGAGCAGAGCAGAGTCTGACCTCACTTCCTCTTCCGCCCAGAATTCTATTCTGTTTACTCCTCCCATCTATGTTCCAAGCCATGAGGCCAAGCAGCTGGTTTATTATAACTTAACCAATGAAATCAACAGATTGATATATGACACTCCCACATCAAAGTCGCTTTAAATGAAGAAAGATACAGCAGTGTAGTTGATTGATAGACAACTATTGTTCATCATCTTGCCTCAGTTCTCATATGCGACTACAATAGAAATAATTGATTTGTTCTAGAAATATGGTATAATGACAATGGCTTCATGCCACTGGCAGCTCTGGAGCAATTAAAATACACATATACAGGATCTTTGTAAATTTATGATAGGTACCCAAATCATAAATGGAAGGAATTATCTTCTCTGCATGTTTCAGAATATGATGAATACCAAAAGAACATTTCAAGAAAGAGGAATCATGGTTACAGCTTTTGTGCTTTCCTAGGCCTTCTATTTCATTTCTGAAATCATTGTGTGGCCCCTCCCCCACAGCACCATTATTTCTGTTATATATGTTAGCTCAAAGATCTGCTACCCACCCACTGATGAAAACAGACTGAGCCAAGGTGACAATTCTTTTTTTTTTTTTTTTTTTTTTTAATCCTAACCTCTGTGTTTTGCTTCACTCCGTTGCTGTTTCTGATCAGACTGCTGTGGGAACTTGCCCAATCTTTCTGCCTGGGAGTGTAGCTTTTAAATCAATGCTGTTGGACCACTAGTTACTGCTCGGAATTTCGTCTCCTCAGTTTATGTATGTAGTAGAACCTACGTGAAATGGGTTGACGAAATCCCTGTCTCAAGTGTGGCACTTCCCAGCAGTGCCACACCTCTACCCTACTCCATGTCAGCCATGTTCACACAGCCAGCATTCGAAAGGTGGCAAGTGCATTTCCTGAAGCCAATGGAGATGCTGACCAACCTGGGTAGGTCTCTAGAAAGATCTAGATTTGCATCCATTTGAAAGTTCACTGGAAGCCCCCACCTGTTTCTTGGTTAACTCGTTTTTTGAACTCTTCATGTTCTGAAGAATAGCCTGTTTAGTTTAGATCTGCCATCAGAACCTCGGGGACCCTCTCAACTGTGACAGTTTCTTTGGCCCTACTAAGCACACACAGTTCCATGCTGAATACAGTCATTAAAAGCTCATGGTAGGTAGCACCTTTGTCAGTGACAAGAAGTAGCATGTTATCAGTAAAGGAGAAAAGTACCAGAGTTTCAGTTCATACCAGGCTCCCCCAGAAGCCACACAGTTGCTTCAAACAGTTAATATTTCCACACCACTCTCTGGCTATGAGACTTCCTTAGGTTAATTTTTTTTTCCTTTTCTGAGAGTGAAAAAGAGTCACTATTTAAGTAATGTATAAAGAATGACTATGATTTCTAATTTGGTCTTCTGATAATTGCCAAGTTTTCAGGATGCCTGTGCACAGAAATATCATGTGTCAGATACTGTGCTATTCCATAAAAGAAAAGGAAAATCTCTCCAATATTTACACATCATAAAATACCCTGGCAGTGACAGGATGCACCAGGCATGAGTAGATCTTGGAGTAGACAGTACAGCAATGAGCTGTGGCCTCAATGCAATGACCTCAATGCCTGTCTTTCTCAGAATACAGACTTTAAGGAGATGCCACTCAAACAACATCATTGGCAACAAAACCCAATACCTGCACATTCTTTAATATGTTATAAAAATGTGCCATGTTCTCCTTTGGCATCCAGGGACCATGGACATGAGTTACAGCTATGACAGCCTGTGCCCTATTTTAGAAAACTATTTTTTCTTGGGCAAGCAGAAAACTTTTCCTTTAAAGTCAACAGAGTCACTTTCAAAATCACTGGCATGCTTCAGATGCAGGATCTCTGGATATTTTTTCCCAATTCAAAGGATTTAAGCTAAAGAATTCATGATGGGTATGCCTGTTTTAGAAATTTGACAAAGATTTAGTTTTTTAATTTGAGGTTCAGGTCACTGCAAAGAAAAGAAATACCACCAACTATTTCACGGACTAAAAAAGACAAAGCGAGGAGTGTTGGGGAAAGGAGGAAGGATGAGGTAGATTGGTGCCAAGCTGGTTGCTTTGAGGGTTCAGTAGAGTGCGCTGACAGAACTGAAATTGAGACTTCATCAGAATTACGACAGTGGTGGTGAACGGAGCTATTTGCTTTCCTGTTCTCTACTATCTATACAGAGGTCATGTGGCCTGTTGAGATGAGAGTTCTTCTCTGCTTCACTATTTAGATACTACTTTTGGAGGGTCTAGTTTTATGTTTGCAGAAACCATCCCGGATAACAAGGACATCACAATGACTCAGTGGCAACTCTGACTCCTGTTCACTTCCGTTTGTAGCCCTTGGTCTAGACAGTGAGATTGGAAACTTTGAAGTTGGCAAGGAGTTTGATGCCCTCTTGATCAACCCCAAAGCATCGGACTCTCCTATTGATCTGTTTTATGGGGATTTTGTTGGTGATATTTCTGATGTAAGTAAAAGAAAGTAAAGTAAAATGCCTTTTTGTCATTTAGGGCTTTTTTTTTTTGAGTGGGTGGAGGGATCCATTTTTAAAACAATCATTATTAAAGTAACATGTATTCATTTAGTTTATTTATAAGAAATATGTTAATGTTTTAAAAAATTCTTTTATTCTTCTATTATTAGAGTAAATTTCTGAGAAATAGGCATCTCATTCATTTAGTTATATTTTTCTTCTTTGATGCACTTTTTGAAGTATTTGCATCATTTTTTGTATGGAGTTCTTTGATTTATGTGAGACTCTACATCTGACAATTTCAAGGTTGTTTGCCAAGAATATTCCTGTAACAGGTGGAGAATGGTGAAACACATCTTTAATCCTAGCACTAAGGAGGGGAAGTCAGGTATATCTTCTTGAGTTCGAGGCCAGCTTGGTGTACATAGTAAGTTCCAGGACTATGTTGAGACCCTGTCTCAAAAACCAACAAATAGATAATATTTTAGTAAGGATAAACATTTGTTAGTAGTAGTCTGGGATTTTTGTTCATTTGCTTGCTTTGGGTTTAGGTTTTCATTTATTCATTTGGTTTTGGAAAGATAATTTTTTATGAAAATGTAAATTTGTCATTAAGAAATGGATTTCAATTTCTGGATTTTGCCAATGGCATTTCCCTGTGAATCTCATTTCCGAATGTATCAAGTGCTGTTTCTCACTGCATTTATTTTTCATTTTAGGCTGTTATCCAGAAGTTCCTCTATCTAGGTAGGTAGACATGCTTCTGGGCTATAAACACAACCTTTTTCTTGGTCAAGACTCTCTGTTCTAGGTACATTACATTAAACTCTATGGATGTTAAATTGTGCTAATTCATTTTTTAAAAAGTTCTCAGCATTGAGCTTGCACTATAGCACAATGCCTAGCAATTCCCCAAGAACATACTTAAATCCTGAGCTGTGACACAGAGGGGAAGAGAGCTTTTGGTCAAGCCCTCTTATGCTCCTTCTCTGACCCCAACCTCCCTATCCTGGGACAGAAACTGAACCCACAGCCAGAGTTCTATTCCCAGAGGCAAAATTAGATCAGGAGAGCCCAAGAGTAGCCTTCCGTCTCTTTGTGTGAGTTCAGTGCTAGGTGAAGTTGAGCTTTTCAAGGGCACATTCTATAGACTGCTTATTTCAATGTGCTAAGCAAGATTCCAGGAGTAAAGATAGGTATGCCCTTTTCTCCTGGGACTGGAAATGCCAACCAGCCCCTTCAGCAGAAATGTCAGAGACAGGGGTTTATTGAACAATGGTGCATTTCCACCTCAGAGACAGAATAGAAACCCCAGTCCACAATGAGCTATGGTGTCATCTCTTAGCCAAGTCATCCCAAGAGTATTATAAGTGATCTGGGAAAAATAGAGCTTCTTTCTTTTTGCTTGTGTTTCTTCTTTGAAAAGCGTTTTGCTTAAGATCTCTTTCAAAGGAAATTAAGGCAATTATTGACCCAAAAGCACAGTACAAACAATTCTTTGATTTTTCTTTCAGGAGATGACCGGAACATTGAGGAGGTTTATGTGGGTGGAAAGCAGGTGGTTCCGTTCTCCAGCTCAGTGTAAGAAGACCCGTGGGCATCCATGATATTCTCCTGGAATGACATGGTTCTGCATCTTCCTTGTGCCCAGGGTGCCAGTTAGAAAGTATATTTAAAAAAAAAAAGTATTGTGTTCTTCAGATGACTTCTGTTTCTATGTCTGCTTCCAGTGCTCACTTGGTAAATCGTGCAAAGGAAGTGACATGCTCCTTGACCCTGATGGGGAGCATTCAAAATTCCATGATGGTGCCTACTTCGGGGCTGCTTAGATTTGTGTTAGGCTCATGCAGAAGACAACAGTGTTAATAACGGGCGCTGTGCTTCTACTATTGAAATCAAACCTTTCTGTGCAGGGAAATACGTTGCAAAGAAATATCCCTATGTGGTTAGACATTCTGAGCTAAGTGAAAAGAAGGCGACTCCGTGTGCCCCATTGAGTAGAGTTTTATGCGAGGGCACAAGCTAGACGGTGAACAGATGTTGGAAAAAAACATTGATTGTGCTTGGAAATTAAATACTGAAAACATCCATGTAAAAAGAGAACTTATTGGATTTTAAAATGTGCTTCTAGGTTGACCTTATCTATGGAAATTTGCATTTTATGGAATTTGCATTTCAGAGCTGTGTTATTGTTGTGCGTTGCCTTCTCTAGGGATGAGTGGCAGAACCCGAATGCTCCATGCTTTTCAAATATAATTCTGTGCTTCAAAGCGTTTGACAGAAGCTGAGTATTAAAGATTTACAGTGTCTTAGGGATAGTATTCATATAGCCACGTGGCATAAATAGTTGTGTTTTTGTGTATTTCAAAGTCACCTTGATTTCTGGCTGTGCGGTGTTACAGTTGCTTCTATTTTATTAGATGAGAAACAAGCCCCGTGTGCTGTTGCTGTCTAGGCTAGGGTCTCCATAAATCGGGGGAAGTACTGTACCCCTGGGAGCTGTTAGCAGTGACAGGACAGGGCTCTCTGCAGTGCCCCATCTATTCAGTGGGTCACTGTTGCTGTGAACTTTGCCCTCCTATCAGTGTGCTAGAAGTTAAAAGTCAAGTGCAAGTCCCTTTAAGAACTGTAGATAAGGCTCTGAAGGCCTGTATCCTGTTTTTCTAATTTATCAGATTGTCACTTGAATTCCTTGAGTTTTTTTCTAGCATCAAAATCTTAGTATAATGAGGTTATAGAAATTCTATGTAATGCTTCTATTAGCAGGACTTGCTATTCTAGACATGAAGGAATAATAAACAAAGGAGGCCATTTTAGCTTTCCTAACTACACAATGTCCCTTCTTATAACAATGAAAACCAGATTACAACCGCATGGCAGATTCTTAGCAAGCAGTGATGTGAGTTCTACATTTTCTTAATTTATTCCACACGCTATAAACAAACAAAAACAGGGAGCAGGTTTTGTCAACATATCATTCATTCCCAGGGCTTAGGTGAGTTTCCGTATTATCCTACAACAGTTCTTAGGTGATAGAGCTAAATCCGTGTTAGCACGTGTTAGCAAGTCAGAGAGCACACAGTTCCTCCGCTGCCCTGTAAACCTCAGCTTCACATCGCATGCTAACTCGGCAGTAATTTGTCCAGACCTGTTTTCCTGATAGAAGCACCTTTAGATGTGGTGTATCCTAAAATATTTAGTCTCATTTAGTTTTAGTTTCTTTTTTTTAAAAAAAAAAAAGACAGAATTATTTTGCGTGTATATGTGTGTGTGGGGGGGGATAGAAGTCGATAAAACCAACTTCTGGTCTTAGTCTTCTAGCACACCAGAAACATCAAAATGATCTGCCAGATCCCCTCCCCCATTTCTCTCTGAGTTTGGCAAGTGTTTTCTGCTGTGTCTTTGGACTCTTACCAAAGGAACTTAATTGCAGAGAATCTAACCTGAGTGACGTGGGCCTGGGAGCTTAGGTGTGGGTTGAGTAAGAGTTCTGCCAGTCAGCAGCTGCTTCCAACCTTCGCAGACCCCACACTCCTCTTCCTTAAGGGTGTGCATTTTGATATTGAGCATCAGCTTTTATTTAAACTTAAGATTCACGCACAGTAACATAAATATATGTAATTCTGGAAGCAGGAATAACAGTCATTTGACACCATCCAGTCAGGCATTCAGATTAGTCCTGATAGTGTGTTATAAGCTGAATAACTTCTAATAAAAACAATGTGTTGAAGTGTTTACATGTACTGTGATCTCCCTGCATCCCTTATAACTTATGAGTTTTATTCTCCCAAGTGAAGTGTTCCTCAATGTGTGACTTATGCCGTTTCAGTGCCCCACACAAGGGGTCAGATGTCCTGCACTTTGAAATGTTGCCGTTGCCTAACTTAGGTTGACTTTCTGAATTACAGTCAGCCCTATTCCTAGCCTATCCCAACAGTCACTTTTTGTTTGGCTGGTTTGCTCTCTTTAGAAGAAAGGGAGAAGAAAAAGGAAGGAAGGAAGAGAAGAAGGGAGGAAAGGAGGAAGGAAGGAAGGAAGGAAGGAAGGAAGGAAGGAAGGAAGGAAGGAAGATTAAAACATTATCCCTTCTACTCCATACCATTTAACTTGTTTCTCTAGAATTTTTGATGGACTTCATTGTAAAAGGTTAAGAAGCACTGAAAAGTATCATGTGTGTTACATTTCCAAAATTTCTTGTAACCAAAACACACAAGTAAGCTAATGAAGTTGAATTTGATTTCGTGGGGGAGGCATTGAAAATAAGAGATTAGGACCCAAAGGGTTTTTCTATTCTATTGGGCCAAAGAGACTGGACTTTCCTCTGTGGCATTGTCTTAGCTGGCTCTTTCCTTGCCCTGTCAAAGACTTTAGAATCCAAGAAGATGTCTACCTTCATGCCAGGAGGAGGCCTTTCTAAGTTAATTCTGTGAACATTTAATCTCTTTTCTTCTTCAGTGAGAAATTTCCAAGTTAAAGGAAAGGAAATGGCGGAAACCCCCTTCTTCCTTGCTTAGCTGATTTTTTGAAGTATCCCCTTGGCTATCTCTTTGGCAAATGCTCTGAAATTTTACAGAGGAAACATAACGGCTGTGAGATCTGGCAGTGTGTTGTATCTTCACTCCCTACCAGATTATTCCTATTTTTAAACTTTTTTGCTCCAGAAGCAGGCATATGGGAAGCCTGCAAGGCATGCTGGGAAGAGCATTGTATCAGTTCCTCCTTTTATATGCATGTGAGGAAGGTACCCAGAGCTGGATGCTTCTGGAGTTTGGTGGGCATTTTTTTTTTAAAGTTGCTACTGCTGTTGTTGCTGCTGCTGCTGGAATATTCAGATATTTTAAGAGAGTTACCTTAGCTATTAACAAATAGAATGAGAGGCATAGCAAGAGCAATGACTTGAAATAATCTTTAAATCACAAAGATTCTATATAATATGTTTAAGACCGAAAGGAGATGTTTGCAATTTCTCTGATCCACTAGCTGCTGCAGGTATGACGCCATACATTGCACTTTATTATGTCTCCAGAGAAGATGTAATAAACGTCTTTCTGAAGACCTGGGTGGAAGCAGATAGGTGAAAAGTCACTGAGAAAGAAAACAAAACAAAACTCTTGACATTTGTCGCCATAAAAATACCCCCCCCAAACTCTTGATTGCCGCTTGTTGCCATGTGTGTTTCCAAGCCTACCCCAACATTCCTACCCATCCCCAGCACTGAGCGTGAGAGAGCAAGTGTTGAAGGGTTTGTTTGTGGGTCTAGTACAAATGCAGTGACATGCAAAAGCCAGCCAAGTCAAAGATGAAGGGAAATGTCAATCCCCAGCAGGCTTTTTACCAGGTTACTTGAGTAACTGGTATCATTTACCTTTGTTACTTGGCAGTGACTCACCTGTCTACTTCTTACCCAGAAATCCTATCAGCAATCTTTCCTGACCTTACTGTTAACCTCTTGATGGCTGTTCTTAAGAATATAGACACACCTGTGAATGTAGTCAATGGGGACCTCCTTCCCCTTGGTATTTGTATGATTTGCTAATTGTCACTGTACTGAGTGAGCTCCTTCGTGCATCAGGAAAAAAATATAATAAACGTGATTTTGTGTTTGCATTAGCGTTTGCTGTGTTTTCTGTGTTTGTTGCAAGTTCTATCAGCATGATGAAAGGAGGATGAATCTGATAATACATTTTTTTCATTTTCTTATAATGGATTAAAAAACAGACTGGAATGTTTAGCTGTGGGCCAATGATACTTCCATCATATCACTATACATGGCTTTTTAAATGAAGCCACTGGGATGGTTCTTCTAGACTGGCAGCTTGTTTGGGTTGATGGGAGGATTAGTAAAATCTTAGTCCAGCTGTGTCTGTGAAGAAGTACAAGAGATGAACAGATCGTGAAGGCTGTGGCCTAATGACTAGTTTAATGGATCCAAAATTCATCCAGAGTGTTGGGAGGTGGTGGAGCTATAGCAGGTGAGGCCTGCTGGGAGGAAGTAGATCACTACAGACAGGCTATTTCTGTTACTGCTCCACCCAGCTTCCTGTCTGCCATGACGGAAGTCATTCTACCATGCCCTCCTTGCCGTGGTGGACCAAAACCTCTGATATCGTGAGCAAAATGAACCCGTCCTCTATGAAACTGCTCATATCAACGAATGCTGCTAACACTCTCCCCCCTTTTAGGGTCAGATCGCTACACTGGGTTTAGCACAGTTGATTTTTTGTATTTAAAATGTATTTGTTTTTTGATTTTTGTGCCTGCTATGCGTCCCATATGTGTGCAGGTGCTTGTGAAGGCCAGGAGAAAATGTCATAGCTCCTGGAACTGGAGTTACTGGAGGTTGTGAAGCTCCTGGTGTGGGTGCTAGGGACTGAGCTCGCGTCCTCCTCAGGAACAGAAAGTGTTTTTCAACTGTTGAGCCATCTCTCCAGCTCTGTTTGTCATGTTTTGAAAGCTAAAACCCAGAAGAAGAAATACACCTCATACCAATACTCAGTTCACTGGGCTGTAGCAAAGGCAGATTTAAGGGGAAGTTACGAGCAGCTACGTTTTAAAAACCAGGGAGCTCTCAATATTTCATCTTTGAGATGTAATGACACATTTCTAAGCCTTAGAAATGAAAAATAAAATAAATGTAAAACAATGGAAGGAAAAATAGTAAAAATCAGAGTCGAAGCTAAAGAACTAGCAACAAAAAAGTCAATAAAGAGGTCAATTAAAGAGTTGATTCCTTGAAAAAGAAAGAAAGGACAAACCCTTAGCCAAGTCAACTTAAAGAAAAAGACCTAACTTAATAAAATTACATTGAAATTTAGGTATTACAGTAGATGCCACCAAAAACAAGAGGATCTTTAGAGATTATTTTGAGTTTTGCATTCTCACAAACTGAGAAAATCTAGAAAAAAAATAGAAAAATTCTGAATACATATGTTTACCACTTGAGCCGAGAATATATACACAATCTAAACAAACTGTTGCTAAAAATTAGATTGAACAAGAAGTCTCCCATCAGAGGAAACCCCAGGACTGGCCATACACTTACAGGTGAATCTTACCAGGCAGTTGCAGAATTATCAATACTGTTCTTTAAACTTCTATAAGCCAGGTGGTGGTGGCGCATGTCTTTAATCCCAGCACTTGGGAGGCAGAATCAGGCAGATCTCAGTGAGTTTGAGGCCAGCCCAGACTACAAGAGCTAGTTTCCAGGACAGATTCCAAAGCTACAAAGAAATCCTATTTCGAAAAAAAAAAAAAAAGAAAAAAAAGAAAGAAAAATATTCTATAAAATATAAGTGGAAAAAATACTCATTTTATGAAGGAAGATGCAGTAATACAAAGGCCAATTAACAACAATAGCAAAAATAAACATGCAAAAATTATCAACAAAATGCTGCAAATAACACATTACAACCATGACTAAGTTGGTCTCATTCTAGGGAAGCAAGAATAATTCACCATCCATTAATCAATAAACATGTTAGAGCATGTAGATAGAATCAAGAACCAAAATTTTATGATCATCTCAACAGATGTAGAAAAAGCTTTAGATGAGTTTCAACACTGCTTCATGTTAATGATGCTGAAGAAATTGGGAATTTAAAAAAAAATCGTAATGACAGAGACCCACATTGGAGCACCGGACTGAAATCTCAAGGTCCAAATCAGGAGCGAACATGAGCAAGGAACTCAGGACCGCGAAGGGGTGCACCCACACACTGAGACAATGGAGATGCTCTATTGGGAACTCACCAAGGCCAGCTGACCTGGGCCTGAAAAAGCCTGGGTTAAAACAGGTCTCACTGAACATAGCGGACAATGAGGACTACTGAGACATCAAGAACAATGGCAATGGGTTTTTGATCCTATTGCATGTATTGGCTTTGTGGGAGCCTAGGCTGTTTGGATGCTCACCTTATGAGACCTGTACTGAGGAGGGTTTTCCTTGGACTTCTCACGGGACGGAGAGCCCTGATTGCTCTTTGGGCTGACGAGAGAGGGGGACTTGATTGGGGGAGGGGGAGGGAAAGGGAAGGCGGAGGTGGGGAAGTGACAGAAATATTTAATAAATAAATAAAATAAAAAAAGGAAAAAAAAGAAAAATAAAGAAAAATAAAAGCAAAAAAAAAGTTAAAAAAATCGTAATAAAGGCCACATTCATTAAACTTATAACCAACATCTTACTGAAGGGCAAACTGGAACACATTGCCTCTAAAATCAAGAACAAGATGGGATTTCTAATCTTATGCCTCTTATTCAATAGATAACTGGAAATCTTAGCTAAAGCAATAAAGTAAGAGAAAGAAATAAAAGAGATACAAATGGGTAAAAGGGAAGTCCATTTGTCCCTATTTGTAAATGATATGATCTTATAAAACCTTAAAGAGTCTACCAGAAGACTCTTAGATTTGACAAATATTTCCAGCAAAGCAGCTGTATACAAAATTAACATGCAAAATCATTAGTTAAAAAAATACATCAATAACAAAGTCACCAACTAGAAAATGAGGAAAGCAGTCCCATTCACAATAGGCAACAAAGAAACAACCCACTAGGATTAAACCTAATAAAGCCTGTTAAAAACTTCTTTAATCCTTTAATCCTAACACTTGGAAGGCAGAGGTAGGTGGGTCTCTATGAGTTCAAGGTCAGCCTCGTTCATACAGTGAGTTCTAGATCTCATGAGACCCTGTCTTAAAACATCAAAAGAACAAAAGCAGAGGAGATGAAAATCATGTTGCTTGTATGTAAATAAATGGAATTCAAGGTCATCCTAGCAGGGAAAGCTAGCTGTGAAGGCTCACAAACAATCCCACACCAGTTTGGAATTATGATTAATAGAATGGTTACTTATTTAAAGAGAAAAAAACTTACAGATCACCGTCCCAGACAACAGCCCTCTGGGCGATCAGGAAAGGAATCTAGTAGGCAGAAGCGAGCTGGAAGCAAGAGAGCCGGAAGCAAGAGAGCGAGCACACGGCTACTGCTGCTTTTTAAAGCAAACGAGACCATGCCCAAGTGGGCTGGTATCTTAAAGTCTACTGGCTGAAGGAGCAGAAGGAGCTCCCACAACATAACTGGACTCAGGAAGACAATGGTTGCAAGTGTTCCCTCATACATGGAATCAAGACAAAAGACCTAAACGGCACAAAAGAAGAAGAAGGGAGAGTACTGGGATAAAAAAGGGATCAAGAGGAGGGGAAAGGAAGGAAGAGGACAGTTTGGAGTGGTGAGGATGTATACAGTACATTGTATGCATGTAAGAAAATGCCAGGCAAAGCTATGGTTTGTACAAGATGAAAGAATCAGTTCACACATATAAACAGGTGTGAAACTTTAAAGCAGGATTTATAAAATAGTACACTGTCTGTGATGTCCTAGCCTATTTTCAATACTATTCTATTTTGTTTCCTAAATTGTAGTCTATGTTTGTATTTCACTGCAGCATTTTAGGATTCTGGTTTCTTGAGCGCCTATTGATGGACAGGCCCATGCCCTCTGTATCAGCACTGTGCCAGTATCTGAGTTTAAGCTTGGCCTCACAATTACAGGAAGACAGGGCAGAGGAGGGAAAATCAAATCGCTGTAAGTCTCCATGGCTCCAGTATCTTGGTTCTTTGGCTTTTGTTTAAGGATACAACAGTGTCCATCTTTAAGTCATGAGATTAAGTAATGAGGTATGTAGATGGCAGGTAAGATAGCACCCAGATACCTGGGTGCTCACACTTCAGTAGATAGGACCAGAAAAGTGGAATACACGCTAAAGATTAATGAAACCATTGAAGTCTTTATGAGTTTATTTTTGAATAGTAATCAAGTAATATTAAGGTAAGAATCTTCTGTATATGAAGCTTCCCACATATGATTTCTCAATAGTATTATATGTTCATGTTCCTAACTTACAACATGAAGCCTAAGGTCAGCCATAGATTTGATCTATAAATTTATCCCTATACCCATGCCCTCAGGAAAGGTCTGTGAGGCTTCTCCCTCTTTCCCAGAACAGCTGGAGGGGCTGCTGGAAGGGCAGCTTCTGAGGATTGAGGAACTGCCCAGGTTTTCAAGATGTGGTGGTCCAGGGATTCAATCAATCTCTTGGGTAGAAAGCCTGAGGACCTTCAGCTGAGGTACATATCAAGCAAATGCATTAAGACTCTGCCCACCCTGGGCAGTTTTCTGTTCTCTGCCAAACCTCTAGCTGTACTGTCTCGGACCACCCACCGTAAAAATGTCCCTTCATCTGACTTACTGTATGGTGGTTTTGTCTTGCGTGACTCACGCATGTACCAGAAGCTGCAGCCCACACTGGACCTGGTACTGGGCTGGCTAGTTTTATGTCAACTCGACACAAAATAGAGTCATTTTTGAAGAGGGAGGCTCCATGGAGAAAATGTCCCCACCAGAGTGGCCTGTGGGAAAACCTGTGGAGCAATTTTTGATTGACATCGATGTGGGCGGATCCAGCTCACTGTGGGTGGTACCACCCCTGGGCACGTGGTCCTGGCTGTATAAAAAGCAGGTTGAACAACTCATGAGGAACAAAGCCAATAGGTAGCATTACTTCATGGTCCTCTGCTTTAGTTTCTGCCTCCAGGTAAGTGCCTCAAGTTTTTG